GGAAACATTGCTCTCGGATGGCGCGAAACATCACAGACTCAGCAGATGGAATCAATTCTGCACGCGAAACACCCTTGTGTCGCCATGACAGCATACTTGCGACCAAACCGCGAGCTCGTTGCCACTTGGAGAACTTCTCCCACGGCCAAACAACTGGAGTGTCAACCTCCACAGCCGACACGCGTGCTTCGGTGACGGACTCATTGGTGCTCTGAAACGAGATGACTGGTGGCCACTGAGACTCATCGCTCAACCATGACGGACCATGCAGCCACATCTCCTTCTGCAAGTCACACACTGGGACACCACGCGAGACAAGATCTGCAGGGTTGCTAACTCCTGGACAGTGACGCCATTCTACTTGCAGCTTCTGCGAAACTTCTTGCACTGCAGCAACTCGATTAGCAACATACGTCTTCCAGTGATACGACGGCTTTGAGATCCAGTGCCATGTGGTTAGGCTGTCTGTCCACCCCACAATCCTTTCAATTGGCACTCTCAATTCATTGACGACAAAGGACAACATCTTCACGCCAAGACACACAGCCGACAATTCCAGACGCGCAAGAGTGGGACGTACAACAGGTGCAACCTTCGCCTTCGCACACAACAAAGAAGACGTCAAACCGGACACAACATAGAAACAACAGCCATAGCCCTTCTCGGATGCATCTGAGAATACATGCAAAGTGACTGGAGCATCTGGAGTACACCCGATCCATCTGGGGATTTTAACGGAAGAAAGCGCTGCGAGCTCTCCCCACCATGAAGCACATCGGACAGCCAAATCAATAGGGAATGGGTCATCCCAACCACCGCCGAGCTTCCAACTCTCTTGCAACATCATCTTGCCTGGCACAACTGCGGGTGACGCCCAACCTAGCGGATCGAACACAGCGGCAACACAACGCAACAAAGCACGACGAGACCAACCAGACACTTCCTTGGGACACTCAACATCACCGAGCGCAGCCACCGAAATACAATCTGACTCGGTGTTCCACACAATACCCAGTGCCTTGGAACCAGCCTCGGGGTCTGAGGTCATCGTGTTCCCTCGCCACTTCCGCAACTCCATGCCTGCTCCCTGCAAAACATTAACGCTATACTCCTGCAGCTTTTCAGCATCCGCACAGCATGGCAAGCTAGAAACGCAATCATCAACATAAAAACTACGCAGCAGCAGCTCTATGATATCACGCTCAGCAGCAGAAGCAGACTCGAATGCACTATCGAGATGAAAGCGCAGCACAGCACTAAGTATGAAAGGAGAACAATTCACTCCAAAAGGCAGCTTCTTTAAACGCCAGATACACATTTCTTCGCTACCTATCTCAGGCCAAACAAAACGCAGATATGGCCTATCTTCTTCACGCATTCCGATCATAAAAAAAGCCTTGCGAATATCGGCTTGTACAGCACATTCATACTCACGGAACCTGAGGAGGATACCAGTGAGATCCGGTAGGAGTGATGGCCCGGGATCGACCATGTCGTTTAGGGATGGTGCTCCGGTGCAGGCGGCGGATGCATTGAAGACGACCCGTGTCTTCGTCGTTGAGGCGTCGCTACGGAATACGGCATGATGCGGCATGTAATAGCCGGCTTCCTCCGGATGCGGTTCCTTTTCAATGGCATCCAGCTTCAAGTACTCAGTGATGAGGACGTCATCATACGCTGGACGTTGACCTCGTCTCTGTAGCTGCTTCAGCAGTGAGTGTGCCGCTGCCATCGCTTGGTTGAGGTTGGCTGGCGGACGCTTCTCAGATCGCCATAGCAATCCCACTTGGTAATGAGGGCCTTGCCGCTCTATCGGGAAGTCCGGTAACGTCTCAGCTATTTCCGGCACCTCTTCCATCTTCCACAGTCGGTCAAGTTCAATACAACTCACACTGACGGTCGCTGACTTGGTTTCACTATTAGCCGGTCCTGACAGCACCCAGCCTATTTCAGTGTGCCAGGCCGTCTCTCCATTGATTTGCTCCTTGCGGAGAAGGAACTCATTGCAGTAGTCAGCTCCAATCAGCATGTGCACTTCGCTTGATCCGGCCTTTGTCGAGTCATCAGACAGCTGCAATCCCTGTGACTGCCAACGTGCAATTGTGCTGTCTGCTAGCGGATCGAATCGGAGACCTAGCGACTTCTTTTGCCAGGCATTGACGGAAATGGACTTCGTTGCACCCTTGATGGTGACACGGTACCTGTCCATCTTTTCAAACTTCGGCTCCACGTCAAACGCCTTCAGCCTGACAGTTTGCGATCCAAGGTGTGCCGGTTGCAGCGAGTTCACCAGTGGCGCGGTGATGAACGATGCCTGCGCACCTGGGTCGATGAATATGCGTACACTGGCCTTTCGGCTAGGTCCTTGTACCTCAGCCACGCCGGTCATCAAGTGCACGCTGTTTGCACTACATTCATACGTACCGACTTTCGATTCGGCTATCGGTTCGGATGTTACCTGTTTGTCCTCTCTGTGCAGTAGACTGTGGTGTCGCTTGTTGCAGTGCTTGCAACGACCCTTGTTCTGACAATTCATCACTCGATGTCCTGGTCTCAGGCAGTTGAAACACAGTCCCTCTGCCTTGACGTACGCGTTTCGGTGCTCAGACGCCATAGCTGACAATTTCTTGTTAGCCTCATCAACGCTGACCGTCAAACACTCTGCCGACGCAAACGGTATACGTTTGTCGCTGGTGCTAGACTTGGCAGGCTTCAGCTTGCTACGTCCGTGGGCTGTTTGGTAAGCCATACCATCCTCCGCAAACGCCTTCAAGTCCTTCGTGTAACATCTCTTCTCGATCAAGAAGGCCTTAGTTTCTGCCGACACAGCTTCTAGCAGGACTTGACGTACGACACATCCGAACAATTCAGTGTCGTCCAGCTCACCGATTTGTCCGCGGCTAGAGGTACGGCTAGGCCTGGCGAGTTTTGCCCACTTCTCCGTCTCGCGCGTCACTCGTACCACAAACTGGTAGAAACTCTCATCACTTTTCTGCTGTATGGCCATCAGGGCTTGCCACGCTTTGTCGGCGGTCTTCCCATGCGCCATCAGCAGCTCGCGCTTCGCTTCGGCAAAGGTGTTGCAGCCATAGCATGCACCTTCCAACTTGCTGCCAGCAACAGCCACGCGCAAGCGGATCAGGTACTCGTCGTCGCTGAACTCATTTTGCTTTGCCACATCCTCGAACAGTTCGAGATAGGTCTCAACAGTCTGCTTACCGTCGAACTTCGGCATCTTGATGGCAGCCCTCTTGCTCGCTAAACTGCCATTCGTCGTATTCAACAAAGTGCTCTCATCACTCTGAGTCTCTCGTGTGTGCTGGACTTGCAACTCCAAATCTGCAATCCTCGCAAGCAGCTGCTCGTCATCTTTCCTTTCCAATCTACTTCCTGCTCGTTCTTCGCGCTCTCTGTCTGCACGCACTTTCTCCTCGTGCTTCTCGATACGCTCCTCTACGTAAGTACGCAATGCCTCTCCAGTGTAGCCATAAGCTTGACCATTTGCGATCAGCTTCGCTTCTACCTCATCCATGTTCACGCGTCTCGATCCTGGCGTGGTCGCCAAAATGTTGTGTTCACTACTAACACCTCAAAAGTTTCAGGATCGCACAGACGCCACAAGACAAAAGGTCACGTAATTCTTTACGGACTATAATGAACGAACAGTAGAATACATTGAGAAGAAGAGACTGGAAAAATACGAACTACATCGGAAAGAGAACTCTAGAACACTAAAGAAAAACAAACCACAGCATCAAGGAAAAGAACAACGCATGAGGGGTAAAGCGCTGGCCAGCCACAACGTGTGTCCAACTTTGGCATGAGCGTACAGAAGAGCGTACAGCGCTCGGAAAGCGGAAGCTAAATTTGGCGGCAAAGCGACAGCAATAGTACGGCGCGCGGCACATAAGCAGTACGAGGCGAGGCACGTATACGCATGTGCGGCAATCATTACACACCATGTACCATATATGCATGAACAGCGCGGGGCGCATACTAACTCATTCAACATCAGTGCGCGGCGCAGGCATCTAGCTAGCTGGCGCAAGCATGATCATAATTGCATGCCATCACGCAATCAGCGCACATAAATCGTGCATCAAATAAATAAGTAATCAAACACAAATCAACCCATCAACTAAATAAATCAACGAGCTAGCAAGAACACAATTCAAAAATGCAACGAAGAAATAATTACTATTCTAGTCGGTTATTCGCATGGGACCAAGCGCAATGTCCAAGCTGATGAACTGTGATTGCACAAGGTAAGCCCAAGCTCCTGAGCTAACCGTTCTGGTGAGCAGTCTTCTTCGTGCTGCAAACACACACTACACAATGTGTCGTATCTCGTAACAAGTACTGTACCAAATCACAACGAACACTAACAATACGCAATAGTAAACAATAATCAAAAACACTACGCAAAAACGCAAAGCAAGCAGCACCTAGCCAGGGAGACAAGCAGGAGTCACGGTCGCAACGAGATCTCGACGACACCCCAGAAGACCTTTCTCCGACACGATACACAACACTCGGCACCCAGAGGACTGCAACTGGTGAAATTTTGATTTTTGGCTTAACTTCCCCTTTAACTTAATGCGCGTGTTGTATTATTTTATCATCTTACTAGGGCAATAATCTCCACGCACTGTACTGTAAATCAACAAATATTCGGCGAATATTTATTTTCGGCTATTTTCAGGCGGGTCATATGTAGCCGAATTTTTTTCCGGCCGAAATTTTGTTTTGCAAGGTTCATAGTGACAGTGTATACAGGCAAACAGTACAGGTTGAATATTTATTGTGGCCGAAATGTGTTTTAGCCCTGGGAGGCCGAACTCTGAATGGGCCGAAAATTTAATTTTATAGACTTACGGTATGTCATTTTACAGAGTAGCCAAGCTAGGTTTGTGACTACAGGGTGTGTGTGTGTGTGTGTGTGTGTGTGTGTGTGTGTGTGTGTGTGTGTGTGTGTGTGTGCCTCTCCTTCCCTGCTGCAGAGAGCTGATGGAAGTGGAGTACTGCAGGCAATGCTTGATGCTAGTCAAGTCCGAATATGTCGAGAAATATGAACTCAGTCTTGTTGAAGGTATGGGAGAAGTCCAGATATGTTGAGAAATATGAACTCAGTCTTGTTGAAGGTATGGGAGAAGTCCGATATGTCGAGAAATATGACCTCAGTCTTGTATGGGAAAAGTCCGAAATGAACTCGGTCTTGTTGAACGTACTGTATGGGAGTTTGCTCACGTGCATTGCTTCTATGAGTTTTATGAAATTTGAATTTAATATTTGGGGTTCAGAATTTCTTCACTTGCTTAGAGATATAGGATATAGATACTCTCTGTCTCCGTGTCCGTTTCTGATTATCATACTGTGCGTGTGTGTGTGCATCCGTCCATCGGTCCGTTCGTCCATCCGCCTGTCTGTGTGCCTGTGTGTGTGTGTGTGTGTGTACCGTTGTGCTGTGCAGTGTTCCCGGTTGATCACGACGCCACGATTTCCCAGGCAATAAGTAAGTTACCGTTTGCATTCCCATGTCATACAGATGTGTACATTCCCATGTCATACAGATGTGTACATTCCCATGTCATACAGATGTGTACATTCCCATGTCATACAGATGTGTACATTCCCATGCCATACAGATGTGTACATTCCCATGTCATACAGATGTGTACATTCCCATGCCATACAGATGTGTACATTCCCATGCCATACAGATGTGTACATTCCCATGTCATACAGATGTGTACATACCCATGCCATACAGATGTGTACATTCCCATGCCATACAGATGTGTACATACCCATGCCATACAGATGTGTACATTCCCATGCCATACAGATGTGTACATTCCCATGCCATACAGATGTGTACATACCCATGCCATACAGATGTGTACATTCCCATGCCATACAGATGTGTACATTCCCATGCCATACAGATGTGTACATTCCCATGCCATACAGATGTGTACATTCCCATGCCATACAGATGTGTACATACCCATGCCATACAGATGTGTACATTCCCATGCCATACAGATGTGTACATTCCCATGTCATACAGATGTGTACATACCCATGCCATACAGATGTGTACATTCCCATGCCATACAGATGTGTACATACCCATGCCATACAGATGTGTACATTCCCATGCCATACAGATGTGTACATTCCCATGCCATACAGATGTGTACATTCCCATGCCATACAGATGTGTACATACCCATGCCATACAGATGTGTACATACCCATGCCATACAGATGTGTACATTCCCATGCCATACAGATGTGTACATGTTAGGCCTAACACATGTACATCAGTTACACATGCCTCTGCCGTGCTTGCCTGTTCACACTCACACAGTGCTGTCAACCAACTGGGTCTGTCTTGCGCACTGCTTCTTCTGATTTTCCGTAGTTTGCAGTGACTTCGCGTACTGCTAGTGTGACAGGCACGCAGGTCGCTGTATTTTCTAGTCCGAAACATGTGTGACTATGATTTGTGTCCTACATGTAGTTGTAGTATGGCAAACACTGACTTTGGCACGGGGATTTTCACTGATATTTACACTTCCCATATGCTTCTACATAGCTGATCGATCCCCTTGCAATTATCCGCACCATTTTGCTCAAATTCCGCACTGCGGACGAAGGAGTGATTGTCCGTACAGATAAGGAAAAGTACGGAAGGTTGGCAGCACTGCTCACAGTGTGTATACGTGTTTGATACCTGAGGTCTGTGGTCTGGACAGCTTTTCTGGGTATTCTGCAATCAGCGCACTGTTCTACGATCGGCATGCTATTCTGAGGCTCTTCTTAGACCAGCATGCTATTCTGAGGCTATTCTACGATCAGCATGCTATTTTGGGGCTATTCTAAGACTAGCATGCTATTCTGAGGCTAGTCTAAAACCAGAATACTATTCTGAGGCCATTCTAAGCCCAGCAAGCTATTTTGAGGCTAGTCTGAGACCGGAATGCTATTCTGAGGCTATTCTGCGATTAGCATGCTATTCTGGATTCTGCACACAATGTCATGGTATTCCTAGCATCTAGGGAGACGCCATGGACGAGTTACACTTAAAATGATGTAGACTCCACCCTGGGGCTGCCGACTCCAGCCCCCGCCCCAAAGGGGCTAGGCACTTTATTCATTCTCGAATATTGCATCGCAGGTACGTGCCAATTGGTCATGGACCATGAGTCGAGTGAAATAAATAAAACAAAGACAACATCAAGACGAACAACAAAGGACGACACACAGTCGGTGATGCCAGACACATCCACTGCCCCTCTGGCGAGCCACGGCCACTCGCTCCACGCGGTGTCCTGCCGTCTCCAGTCCACAGCTTACTGACCACCATCTCCTCTGGAGTCTCCTTTTCAAGTCTTGGCGCTTCCACCAGCTCCTTCTCTCTCGATCTCCTTCTCCATCACTCTCATTTCTCATGCTTACAATAGTTGTTGACGACGATGACGACGACGACAAACTGACTCGTCCTCTGCGTCCCGGGTTTCGGCACTACGTTGTTATGGTCTCACAGCCATTCCGTTCCCCGGGACACCGAACACAAATGACAAGTACTGTTTCACGGTTTTCATAATTTTATTTGGACTAGGACACGACGGGAAAACAGAGACAACTAGTTCCATGGGAAGAACAGAAGGAGATCGAGAGAGAAGGAGCTGATGGGAACGCCAAGACGTTGGTTCAACTTGGAAAGGAGACTGCAGAAGAGGTGGTAGACAGTAAGCTGTGGACTGGAAACAGCAGGATACCGCGTGGAGCGAGTAGCTGTGGCTCACTGCAGGGCAGCAGATGTGTCTGGCATCTCCGACTCTGTGTCGTCTGTTTTTTTTATCTTGCTTTTGTCTTGCTCGCCGTGTTATCTATTTGTGCTTCTCTCGAGGTTCAGTTCGTTCCTTGTTGCTGTGTTGTTTGAGTTTGGTTGTTGCTCTTCTCTAACTAACGAGCTTGCTTGAGCAGAAAATTCCGCTCCGGTCCATGTCGTGAGCTTTCTAGGGAACGCCACCTTGAAACGGCCAAACCTGATACTGTTGTTGGCACTCTGACCCCACAGCAATGCCACATATTGCATGTCTGTTTTCGGAATCTCCGACACCTCAACCCAGTGTTTCCGAACTTCCACCTCATCTTCCAGTAAATAAATGAAAGTGCCCAGCTTTGTTCGTGTTCCAGCTAGTGTGTTCATGCAGAGGTTGTGTGTTCATGCAGAGGTTGCCTTCTGGGAAAGCGGTGAATAGATCAGACTATCTAGGTAAATGCGACTGGGCTGACTTTGACAATGTCGCTAATTCTGGAGCTGTCGGTGCAAACTTTGCCTTTGGTGTCGGCGTCGTGGCTGTTTCAGACAACATACCTTCAGTCTTTCGGAGTGCTGCCAACTGGGAAGTAGGTGACACAGAGGAGGAAGTCGACTAGGGCCGCTGCTGACAGCTGTTGCTGGCACGGGACTGCTTGAAATGCTAGCACAGCGCCTGGGCGTTTCGCTCTTTGTTGCCTCTGTTGGTCTGCTAATAAATCTCCGAGTGAAGAACAATGGGCTTTATCACCATTTCACTGAAGCTTATTCTCGTAGAACCCAATGTTCCCGCACAGGGAAAATAACTGTAATCAACAATAATATCGGCCGAAGCCACTCGAGGAAGGATTTGTTCATGCTGTAGAAGGGCCAACATCCCGATACCCAGACGGCCAGGTTATGATATGATCAAACTCTGCGTCTTTATATCATAGAGATTGACATCTCAAACATTGCCAGAGTCAGGACGTTAACAAATGTCAAGAAATCCAGCTGCTCATCACGATTGCAATTGCCATTATATTATTGAGACTGTAACCAGGGACTACGACATGACGGAAAGTAACCTAACTCAAAAGGACGAACAAGAAAACTGACAAAAAGGACTTTCAACTACAACATGCACATGCTCATATCACACATGCACGCTGCTAGACGAAGAGAGCTTGGGGAATGTCATCACACACAGGAAAACAACAAATCATTTTACAACAACCATGACAACAGAGAGCATCGGTGCAGTCCGTAAACTGGCTGCGCTGGATCGCTACTAGACGCTAGCCGTTTCACGCATTTTTCCCCGTAGCTTGTGTAGTGTAAAAAAACCGATCTCATTTCCGCTGTCTAGTGTCCACTATGGTCTAGCACGGCTGTGTACAACGTGTACGTGTGTGTACCACGTGTACGTGTGTGAACAGACAAGCCTACAACTAGTACAAGTGAAGTTGCGTGTGAACAGCTAGTAGTAGTAGTAACTTGGTAGTATTCTTTTATTTTCCATCGGAAGCCGCAACAGTGATGAGCACAACTCTTAAGAGGGCCGATAACAGAGTAGAGGGGTGTGGGGTGAGAAAAATAATAATAAAAAAGTTTTGACGATATTATGTGAGGGATTAATGGCTAGTCCGACTTTTCCGACTGTCGGGTTCGTTTCATGTCGGTGTCAGTGTGGGAGCATCGGCCGAAAATTAGCCTAGTGTGTATAGTCAACTTGGCTAATAATGACTGCGGATATAATGACAATTCGCTAATAACGACTGCGGATATAATGACAATTCGCTAATAACGACTGTGGATATAGTGACAATTCGCTAATAACGACTGCGGATATAATGACAATTCACGAATAACGACAGAATTTCCATGCCCAGAGTAAAGTCCCATCTAATTGTAATAAACAGTTTCCTCTGAGACAAAAATGCGATAATACTCATAAAAATACATAATTATAATGAGACTTCGGGTATAACGACACTTTGCGAATAAGGACACTTTCTGATGCCCGCCCCCGAGTGTCGTTATACGCTCGAAGTTGCCTGTACCAGGTGTTAGACTGCCTGGTTCTCACATGATGAAATTCTTCTTTGCCCGTGTTGTTCTGTATGTTAACCTTCATTGCACTCAGATCACATGGACACACACTCTGATTCATCAGGAACCGCGGTAAGTGTGAATATGATTTTACCTGCATGTAAGCTGAAAGCCTGCATGTAAGCTTAAAGCCTGCATTGCACTGACCCAGTGAGATCGTTAGGTAGCCGTAGTGCTGTTGCTACTGGTTGCTAGTCTTGTAGCTGACGGTGTTGTTGATGCTACTGGTGCTGCTGTTGATGCTGCTGCTGCTGCTGGTGCTGCTGCTGCTGCTGGTGATGCTACTGCCGCTGATAGTGCTGATGGTGGTGCAGCTGCTGCTGCTGATACTGCTGCTGATGCTGCTGATTGTGATGGTGATGCTGCTGATGGTGCTGATCATGATGGTGCTGCTGCTGTTGCTGATGGTGCTGCGGATGCTGCCGATGCTGCTGTTGCTTGTGGTGCTTCTGCTGCTGCTGCTGCAGCTGCTGTTGCAGTTGCTGTTTTCAATTTTTTATTGTTGCTGCTGCTGTTGTTGTTTCTGCTGCTGATGGTGTTGCTGGTGTTCGTGGTGTGTGTATGTGTGTGTGTGTGTGTGTGCGTGCATGTGTGTGTGCGTGTATGTGTGCGATGTGCGAGCGTTCGTGCACATATGTGTGTGCGCGCACATGTGTATGTGGGTGTTTGTGTTATCAGATTGATTGTCTGCAGCACCTATGCACTCTGACTGAAGCCAGAGGTAAGTTTGTTGTCTGTAGAGTGATGCAACAACACTCATACTCATACTCCTGCCCATCGCTGAAGCGATGATAGTGAACAAGCTATGTTAGACATTGCAATTTGTGCTGGGATTACACCATTCGACAGCTTGCAAGGCTGAAGAATTGACCGCCACTAATTTTAGCCTGGTCTACACCACACGGCTAGTTGAAGTGGCTTTTTTCTGGCCAGTGAACCCCTATAGTTCATGCAACCATGCATGCATCTGATCAAGATTCCCATTGCTCTGAGAGGCTAATCAGATCATGCTCAATCATTGGGTTATGTGGAAATGTATGCATTTCCACTTAACATAAGTCAATTCATCAGCCTTGCAAGCTGTTGAATGGTGTAATCCCAGCACAAGTTGCTATGTCTAACATAGCCCCTGTCCCTTCAGTAATTGTTTTTGGATAAGTACGAACAGCTTCTGACAACGGAGGTCGGAGGCGAAAAAATATACTCTAGAACAAGTCAAGTAGGCATGCAATCATGCAATTGACGAATCCAGTCCAGAAGACACTTCATGCCAGGTATCAAGTGTTTTCGTTCCCTTCTCTTCATCATTATACGGGGAATGGCTGAAATGGAAAAAATGAAAACTATTAGCGTAAATGTACTGGGATACAACACTCTGGACAAGGTAGAGACGAAGTGCAACTCACGGCTCCTTTCTTTGTCGTCAACTCCAGTGTCCTGTCATCTCTCCTTTGCGCGACATCACCAGTACCCGTCTAAGCCTTTTTCCGTGGCCTGCCACGTTTCCTGTCACTCAGCGTTGAAGGTGTGATGTTCAGTGTACCTTCAGCTACATCTCCTTCGACAGTGTTCTCCGTTTAGCTTCTCACTCCAGTTCTCCTGTCTCCAAAGTCTTGGTTTTCACGCGGTCTGCCACGTCTTCTGGCATCCACGTTTGTTGGCGGATGCTTGTGTCCAGGTGCTGAAGGGTTCTATCCACATACCGATTTTCACATTGTCGGCATTGAAAGAAGTATAATGCTACTTTTGCTTAGGGTGGGTAGACCGACCGTCCTTCTTCATACTGAACACACACACACACACACACACACACACACACACACACACACACACACACACACACGCGCACACACACACACACACACACACACACACACACACTGCCCCAAGTATGACATATAGCTTGACAAACAGATAAAATGAACATACACCACCATGGACCTCCTTCTCCACGCGTGCAGAACCCGCACTGAGACGGTATTATTATCCAGGATAACTATGAGCTTCCCCAACAACCAGAAGCGCACTAAATACAAGCTCGGTAATTCAGCTGCTATGTGCCATGTGTCTTGTCAGCAATGCGCTATGCATAATGTTAGCAGTGTGAGATCTATGGGAAGGGAGTAGGAGCTAACGTGTGAGAGCCTGGAAGCGCTATGTGTACAGTGTGAAGTTGGAGGTGTGAAGCACAGCTCTCACAGCACCAACCCAGGGTAGTCGAAGTACCACAGGGCATTGGTTCGGTCCGAATTGAATAGTCTTTCCAATTTCTCCTGCAATCAATTAATTGAACAGATTCAGTGTGCATCATATACCAGTGCTTTAACCAGATGTGTCTCCGTTGGAGTGTAGTCACACCATGGAATATAGAGGCCAGTGAAAGTAGGCTTCCTGTAAATGCCGGTGTCCAAGTTCCTGGTGTTGATATTTCGTTACATCTGCACGTCTAGGAAAGATAATCAACCGTCTTGTTCTGCTTCGGATGTAAACCTTAACTCCGGGTGGAGGCTGTTCAGAGTCAGCAGAAATTTTCCACGGGTCTCTTCATCCTTGTTGTGGCAGTACACATCGTCAACAAAGCGACAGTACATAGAAGGTCATATTGAGGGACTGATGGATGATTCACAGAACCCTGCAAATATGTTCGCCAATACAGGGCCAAGTAGGGAGCCTATCGCGACACCATCTGCCTGCTTAAACATGACGTTACCAAAGGAAAACTCCACATCATACGTAACCATCAACATGAGCTTAACAATCTCATTTTCGTTCAAACTCGGTGGTGTGTTTGACTTGTGGTAGAGTGCACTGGCACAGATGTCGATGGTGTCTCGTAATGGCGCATTGGCGAATAGGCTCACAACGTCATACGAACACATATATCCGCTTGACTCGTCTCGGAGCTTGTCTACAAACTCAAAAGTGTCCTTAACACAGTGGTACAGGCGTAGCACTGGCTAGAGCAAATCACAAAGCCACTTGGATGTTTTGAACTGTGGTGATCCGGACATGCTGGGTATTGGGCGTAATGGGATATTTTTCTTATGGATTTTGGGGAGTCCATACATTCTAGGTCTGGTCAATCCTGTTGGCGCTAGACGATCATAATCGTACTCAGTGCTTTGTTGAGTTCTTGAGTGACACAATAGATCCTTGCTTAGTTTCGTGTCAATGTTTTCTGTGTGATCGTATACATCACATGGGACAAGTCTGCAGAATCTTGTTGTATCCTCAAGTATGACCATCACCTTGGATTCATACTCTTCCTTTGACATGAGCACTGTTGTCCGACCCTTATCAGGGCGAGAGATTATGATGTCGGGATTTTTCCGAAGCTCCTTCATTACTTCGAGGTGCTCCCGTGTAAGCAAAAACGAACGGGTGTCCGGAGAAGACTGTGCAAACCTATATTCCTCGGCCGCAAGGGATGCCCGGCAAGCCGCTGCTGCTTCATCAGATGTAGCTGATAATTTGGACAATTGCTGCTGGAGTAGCTCAAATTCTGCTAAGATTTCCATTCGGCGGAGTTTAGGAGGAATGCCAAAGTCCAATCCACCACAAAACACATCTCTTTGCAGTTGAGTCAGGGTGATGCCGGCAAGATGAATAATAGTATCGTAGTTTTTGATACATTTGCTAATTCTGTCCTGTCTCGAGACCGACGCGACGCCGTCCAGGTATGTTTGTCATGTAGTCTAGACCTTTGGCTACCGTCACATTGTGATAACAGCCATGAAAATCTAACAAAATCAAAGGTATCGAGAAGTCTTCGTGCCGTCTGGTACGAAGATACAAACTTCGACCGGGCATTGTGAATTTCTTATCACCAGTTGGCTGATGATTGCTACAAAGGCATGGAACTCTAAAACAGAACGGTTCAAGGCTGTCCAATACAGTACGCGATGCCCAAGGCCAAAGTCAATAATTACTTCAGCAAAGAAGGGGAGGATGAAGTCATCGCTCGCACGAGGTGATCCTCAGAGAGCAGTCTGTTGCCTGATGATCATATCGTGCTTGAGTTACAATGAAAGCTTCATCCCGTTCTTCTACTTGTAAGCCCGAAACTCTCGAGTTAAAACTAATTCCGAGCGGACCTCTCTTCTGTGTGTGTACCTTCTGTAATCTGAACATAGACTGAAGTGAGTTGTCCTGTAAGAAGATGGTGACGGGAATCATGTCTCAATCTCCCCCTTCACCACCTCGATCTTACACTGCAGTCGTCGTGAATATCTCTCTTTACGACGATCTCCGTGTAAGACCGTAATAGTGAGGGAGATTGGGACATGATTATTGGTTGCAGTGGAGTATCCGCATATTGAAGAAAGTGACAAGAACCGCTGCTTCAAAGTCTTGTTTTGTCTCTTTATCTGTCTCTATGCCTATAATCCCAGACAAGTCGATGACTGACGCTGAGAAGCAAGTGGTTCTACACACAATGAAGAGATTCAAGGGAGATGAGGCCATACAAACACTGTCCTTGCAGTTGATGATACACTTGCTGGATGCCGGTAAGCTCTACAGCATACTGGCCAACTTGGAGTCACACCTGCCTGGAAGAAACTCAGAAAATCCGAATTGAGTCTGTCTCCTCCACCCGTATAACACAACACACATCAAAGCAGCGTAGCCAGTGGCAGGCCATACAAACACTGTCCTTGCAGTTGATGATACACTTGCTGAAAGGTGGTAAGCCCTGCAACATGTTGGCCAATCTAAAGTCAGTAAAACTGGGAGAGAATATAAATTGAAGGTGACAATTGGCAAGTTTACTGTAGTGATAAAAATACGTGGTTGCTGAGGATCGACCACTTGGATGTTAAATTGGACACACTAGCGAAGGAAAGATGCTAAAAATTTCAACAAAAATCTTTCAATTCCTTGCCTTTGTCCATAGGAGCTGCACAATTTTGTGGCTATTTAAAAGGCATCATTAGAAATGGTGTGCTCTCTCCATTCCCAGGCACGTAGCTCGTGCATAGTCAGTCTAATCGTATCACCACTCGTGTGTGTGTATGTGTGTGTTGTGTGTTGTGTGTGCATGAACTGTGTGTAGATGAGCAGAGCAGTGATGACTATCTGTACAAGATTGATGCTGTTCACCCGGTGTGTCTGGCAATGAGGGTAAGAATGCCAACTCAACGCTGGCACACAGCGATTTCTGTACATGTGTGTACAACGCCCTGCAAGTAGACCTTTCGGAGGGGGGGGGGTGTCTATTCCTCCAGCCCACTAGCAGGTGTGTTTGCATGATGAGGGCCAGTATGAAAATATCGGCAGTCGGTTACATTGTACATGGGTGTGGAGCATGATGTGTCATTTTCCTTTGTCTCGTGGGTGGGTGTGGTTGTGTGTGTGTGTGTGCGCGCGCGCGCGCGCGCGCGAAAGCGTGAATGCATGCATGTGTGTGTGTGTGTGTGTGTGTGTGTGTGTGTGTGTGTGTGTGTGTGTGTGTGTGTGTGTGTGTGTGCGCGTGTGTGCGCGTGCGTGTGTGAGCATGGATGCGTGCATGTGCATGTGTTTGTGAATGTAGAAATTTGGAAACTCTGCTCCGCTACAGACAACAGCAACGGAGCTTCTTATGGTACTGTCTACTGATGGTAGGTGCATATGGGTATGTGATACCATACAACACACATGCATTCACGCACACACAGACACGAACACACACGAAGTGTTAATTTCTCGTTGGCTGAACGCAGCAAAATAAACGAGAAATAATGTTCTTTGTGTATTTTTGCACATGGTCATAGATGGGTGCGAGGGCACAGCGGCCGCTGGAAAAGCGTGCAGGCGCAGAATGCTGTTCATTATTTTTCTTCTTGTCAGACAGAAAGTTGCCCACCCACCCACCCTGCTGTTCTGTTATTACCATACGTCAAACCGTCATTGCTACAAATGCTGCTGCTACTGACTCTGTGTATATGATTGTTCTTCATATGCACTGGCAGTATGGCCGCTGTTACGAATAGTATGCTGTCGCAGGTGTGGCTGACTCTGGCTAGCTGTTGCACATGCTTTAGTTGCTTATTGGTCCATAGGGATGCGGCTGCTGGTTGTGGTTGTTTGCTTGTTGTTGCGGAAGCCAGTTGTCTGATGCTGTTGCTGTTGCGAGTTTTCACAAAACGTTTTCTTTGGCAAGAAGATCTTGTGCAGTAAGCCTGCACACCCCCCCCCCCCCAAATCTCGACGAGAGTACACCGGAGTTGTGTTCGTAGATATGTCGAAAGCGTTTGATCGCGTTCAGCACGAGCGTCTTCTGACTGAACTCTTCTCTCTTGGCATATCTGGTACTCCACTCACTTGGTTTGCTGATTACCTCTCAGGCCGCTTCCAGCAGATCAGAGTTCAAGGACATCTCTCTCCTGCCGTTTCTTGTTCTCGTGGTGTCCCACAGGGCAGCGTTCTTGGTCCCCTGCTATTTGTCTTGTACACTAGCACATTGAGCACGATCCTGCCACCGGCGGTAAACCACCAAGAATTTGCGGATGACATTACTCTCGACTGCTCAGACACCGACCCCACTGAAGTATGCCGAACCCTCAGCCACGCAATCACAAGCCTCGCCACGTGGCTAGAAGATATTGGTTTGCTGCTGAATGCAGCAAAAACTCGGCTTCTCTTCATAAAGCCCCGTGGCGCAGATGACACACAGCCTGAGGTGTTCTGCCATGCTGACAAACTTGCTGTCACACCTTCGGCTAAGTATCTCGGGGTAATACTCGATGAGGAGCTGTCCTGGAAGCCCCACATTGCACACCTGAGCCGCAAGACTGCTAGGACCATTGGCCAGCTCTGGAGGCATGGCCAAGGACTCAGTTTGCGCGCCAGACGCACTTGGTTCCTCAGCATGGTCCTCTCTCAGCTATGCTATGGTTCGAATAGCTTTGTTCCTGGGCTTTCTGCCCAGTTGCTTGGACGTCTGGAGAAGAGTTTCAAAGCCGGCATTCGTGCAACCTTGCAACAGCGCTTTCTCACCCCCACCGCACCGCTTCTGGCACTTCTTAGTATAGTCAGCCTGGCACACACATACACTCAGAAAGTTCTAATCTTTGTACACCGCTGTATCAATGGATACTGTAGCCCACTCCTACAGCAACTCTTTACAACGACTGCTCCAAACACCGTGCTTAACGATCAGCGCATCACCAGGGGCCAAGTTTCCAACTTGCTCCAAGTCCCTTTCCTTCGCGGGCCTGCTGGTCGCTCGAGTATGATGTTTCACGGCAGTATTGCATGGAACGCCCTCTCGGCTGATGTAAGATCGATAACTGCTGCCGATCAATTCAAGAGAGCCCTATCTGATATTGACGTACTTAACTTGTAAACTCTATGCCAACAGTCCAACACCCCTCGCCGTACTTCATGTTCCCTGGACTGCTAAAAAGTGTCCCCATCCAACAAAGTCTGCCAATGTTCACACATATATTCTCATGAAATGCTTCCACTACATTTTATTTGTTATCACATTATAAAAAGTTCACACAAATTGAGTGTCAGCATACACACAATGTCATAACAAACATTTCTATAATAATAATCAAACAATAGGGGGACAGAGGAAGTGTTTACTCAGAGTTTCACGCACTAAGCGTGCTTAGTGCGTGAAACTCTGAGTAAACACTTCCTCTGTCCCCCTATTGTTTGAACCAGCTCTACCACTCGGTATTGAGCACTCTCTTGGACAGCCTGGAACCTCTCTGTTTTATAATAATAATCATACCGCTTGCATGTCTTTATCTCTATACATTTCCTCATATAATTTTCTTCATCTTTCTGTGAGAACCGGACCTATAGGCCGGTAAGAAGGCAATCATGCCTGTGCAATTGGTGAAGTAAAATAAAAGTCAACAACAACAACCCCGCATTTCGTTGTGTGTACACTGGTGGATGATGTGCATGAGCAAAATAGACAAAGAACACACCCGAACACACACACACAAACACACACACACACACGAACACACACACATGCACGCACACATACACACAAACACACACACAGAACAATGAGGTGAACGTGTTAAGCCACACACAAGTTTATACATTGTCCGTCCACATCTAGAGATCGATCTTTTTTAAACAAAGTTGAGACGACCGGGGACCCCCCCCCCCCCCCCCCCCCAAACGAACGAATATCTTCTCCTAAAACAATGATATTAATTATTAGTGGACGACCCCTAAGTGTCGAAAATCCCTCCCATACAGTAGCAGATTGTATGCACATGTAGCGCATGTAGAATTTGCGCAACTCCTGCTCCCACGTTAGCTGGTGGAGATGGACTGGTGTTGGTATGGGGCTTTGCCAATGCCATCAGCTACATCACCCCACTATACCGATATTCGTTCAGAAAGTGGTGGACATCACGCAACTGCATTGTAAATAAAAGGGGGTTTGTCAACTGACAACCGCTCTATTTACATTGTAGTTGCTATTCACTCTTTAGATGACGATGGGTGACTGGCCCGAAACGTGTTAAGCGCTGTTCCTCTCTTGCACTCTCAATCTCTTGTCTACCGTCTGTTACGCTCTCCAATGACCGTAAGAAATTTGGAAAGCACATGTTGTTTTGTGTAACTATGACAATCATCGTGACCCGGTGTGAGTCTGCGAAGCAAATCTATGCCAATGTGGTCACTCAGTTTGCAGCGGCCTGCTTTCTTCATTCTATTGCTATTACCCGTGTATGCATGTCTGCGTGTTTTTGTATCTGTGTGCCCATGTGTGTCCATTTGTGTCGGTCTGTTGATCTATGTGTGTGTTTGTGTCTGTGTCTGTGCCTGTGCGCCCGTGTGCATGTGTTCATGTGTGTGCGTTGTTTGTAGAGAATGCTGCGGCTGTTATCGGCGAGACTGGTGGCGTGCAGGACATCCTGTCGGCGTTGAGAGCGTTCCCGAACAGTCCCGTCATTGCCACTAACTGCTGCACTGCCGTCTGGAGCTTGTGTGCATCCGGTATGCGTGTGTGTTTATCGACATCGATGCTCATTGCCTGTTTTCTCACGAACATGGGCAGGATGTGCCGAGGAGAAAAAAATATTCGTTGGGAATATGATTTTGTCATTTTGTCTGAAGAATTTTCGTACTATATTTAATGCAGGACTAAATGTCGATTTTTCTAACCTTTCTCACCACCTTTCCATGTTCATGTGCGCAAATTTCCACCGCGTAGACTTTCTTATGGAGATGGACGAATTAATTCATCGGCTAAATGTTCTGATTATGTAATGCTGTTGGTCTTCAGCTCTTCACGTAATACAAATCTGCCTAGACAGTGCGGAGAAAGACAATGCTACCACAAACACTATACACTAAAATAATATGTGTGAACGCTGTGCAGTAAGCCATGTCCATGCACGCCTGTTCTTCCCCTTTTTTCTTGTTCTTCTCTTTGTTTCTTTACAGAGGAGCTGAGTGCCATTGTCACGGAGGAGAGAGGTATTCTGGACGTTCGCAACGCCATGGATATCTTCAAAGACCACGTGGAAACGGTGGAGGCCGCCAACTCTGCCATCTACTCTCTGTCCCTGGAAGGTATGTACCCACATTGTCATCATCGTGAATAGGAAAATAGTACACCGTATTGTGTTTCCACCGCTTACAGAGTGATCAATACTTGGCTTGGAAGAGCTTTCCCGCACAAGGGAATGTGGAATACAGTGCTGTCGGGCGCCGAAGAACGGCCAGGCTAGAAATTTACCAAACACAGCATACCAATGTATACAGCGTGACTCAACTGTGCATAGACTGTTGTACATGAAAATAGGAACGGTTTAGGCTAGGAGGCTGCCCCCCCCCCCCCCCCCCCCCAGTTCTTCGGCAAACGACTGTACTGTAGTGTTTCTGATTGCAATGCCCAACTCAGCTTGTTTTGAAGAATACAGCCTTCTGATGAAGCCCTAAGAGGATGTATGATTGCGTTTTCTGTTTGTTGTTCACTTTATTAACTTTTCCGACTTGTACTCGTGCTGTTATTGTTGTTACTGCTGTTCTTGTTGTTGCTGCTGTTCTTGTTGTTGCTGCTGTTCTTGTTGTTGCTGCTGTTCTTGTTGTTGCTGCTGTTCTTGTTGTTGCTGCTGTTCTTGTTGTTGCTGCTGTTCTTGTTGTTGCTGCTGTTCTTGTTGTGTGTACTGCAGAGGATAACATCACCATAATGTTGGAGAGTGAAGTGATCTCCTCCATACTGGCCTGTCTGGTTGTGCATTTGCAGGTTAGTTCTATCCGCTGTCCCTTTGCTGGATTATTATTTGCCGGGCCGCCGGAAGCAATTTCTGATTGGTCCGGTCACACTATAGTCTTTCGTTTTGTAGATGATGTGGCGGGTGTACATGATGTGGCGGGTGTAGAGGAGACGGCTCGATACCGGGACGTTTTGACAGCCAAATTTGTATAGACCCAAACCGATCATCAGCGTTGATTTTTCACTCGAAATATGTTTGTGGAAGGAAACTGGCATGTTGAAGTTTGCTCTGGGGCCAGAGTCAATCGAACTGAGCCACTCCTTTGTGTTGACCCATTGCCTCCAAGTTGCCCAATTTTTCGCTTCAAAAAAGTTCAAATCAGAGGTGGCTCCAAACCGGACACGTTTTAGAGTGCCCGTCAAATTCACTCTGGGTCTGAAATTAGGTAATTGCTATCGCTCCACGACGGCCAGTACAGAGTAACAATAAGCCTTGTGTGTGCTTCCATTAGTTTTGATTGGTATGCGGTGCTTTATTGGCGAGAGGCGAGCCGCTGTTTACCTGCGACAAGAAGTTGATTTTTCGAAAGTCGTAAAACTCAAGTCGCAGTGCGAAGCAACACGTCAAAAACTCACCTGCTTGATATGGCGCTTCTGGTCATCGCAGAGCCATGAAATTTTGGCTCGGAGTATAACACATCGTAGTCTCACTGTGACATATGTTTTCTAATCAAAATACCAAGAGAGAAAGTGAATATTGAGTCCGTTCCGGTTTGCAACCGGTGTCCTATTTGAAACCGTCCCCTCTACATGATGATGTGGCGGGTGTACATGACCTCCTGAGCAGTAAACACATGTTGGTGGCGAAAAGGTTGGTGCGGCGATGACCTGACATACGGGATCGGTTCTGACATGCCTGCTCTGCTTTGCTTATATTTGGAAAGAAAAGACATTGGTTCCTTAATTGCTCTGAAACACAAACAACCTGATGAAGGCATGGTGGCTGCCAACAAATGCTAGTGGCTGTTTAGCTATCCCGATAGGTTGTGCCGGTCTTGGGTAGCTGGCGGACTTGCATTAACCCATTCAGCGCTACTGGGCCTTGCCTATGGTACTCTGCATATAAAATGCTAAAAACAAGGCAAATAGAAAGTTCTAAAACTCCAGGGTTCTGGCAACTGGGTCCTCAAATATTTTGGAAATGATTGCCAAGACTATCAACCACAGGGTGACAGAATCGATACAGTCCCCGAAAAGAATAGCGCTTCACAATAGGGGACGCAAGTGTGCTCAAATTGCGTGAAATACGCTAAATGTGTGCAATTGCAGCTGAAAGATCGCTGAAAAGAGAAGAAAAAAAGACGCATAGTGTTACCAAGCGGGATTCGTACCGACGACCTATCGTACAAGAGGCAGGATCATGATCCAACTGACTAACAGTGCTTTTACACACCTGATAGTGACGGAAATCGCTATATATCCCATGTCGTCTATAGACGTCATCCCGCGCATGGGGGGCATTTTCAATGACGTCTATAGACGTCATCAGCGTTCAATGGGTTAATTGCTTGATCTATGCATAGAGAAAACTATAACTGGGGTATGGCAAGCTTTTGCAACAAAGAGTGTTGCATCCTCTACATGTTCTGTAACTGTCTTGGGTCCACTGCTTGATCAGCGCACCGAGAAAACTACAGTCGTGAACAAATAAACCCAACCTGCGAAGCAGCACCGCTTTTCCATTTTAATTACATCATGAACTTTCCAAAAACCCATCTGGATCCGCTGGGGTTGCATAAGATTTGATGCTGCTTTCGGCTCATGGGTTGGATTTCTTTGGCCACAGCTGTACTTAGGGGATGAACTATAGTAATTCTTGTGTATGCTGCACGAACATACAATTTCTACGTGTCGTGCAGGACTCTCGCATTCCACGAGTAGCGTCTCTAGCACTGAGCAGTGTTGTGGAAGTGGAAGGTAAGGTTGTGGATTGCCATCGCACCAGGCACTGTGATGCAGGCGAAAGGCCCCGTGCTCACCTTTGCACCTGCATTCGCAACGTTGGTTCGTGTTTTGCGTGACATCTGCATGTGTATCGTACTTGTTCAGTACTTCGGCCTAGTGGCAGTAATGTCCATAATGTGCTAGTTTCTCTACTTCTTCCCACTAGCTCTGTATTGCTAGTACTGGTGCTTGCTGGAAAACAAGTCTAGAGACACACTGATAGCAGGTAAAGTGACACGTACAACAGCGGTTATTGAAACAGCAGCAGCACCAGCACTAGCATCAGCACTAGCACCAGCACTAGCACCAGCACTAGCAACAGCAGCCACAGCAACAGCAGCACCAGCAACTGCCAATTCCCTCACCAGTTCTTTTGCTAACATGTCTGCTGTCTTATGCTGTGACCGTTCCCAGCTATATTGCAGACCTGTTCAATCCCAAGCAAGCAGTGGTGTCTCAGTCCGTAACCAATCATTTCCTTGTCGCGTGCTCATCTACTGTCTGTGTGCACGCGTGTGTGTGTGTGTGTGTGTGTGTGTGTGTGTGTGTGTGTGTGTGTGTGTGTGCATGTGTCCGTTTTGGGGAGAAACATTGTCGAAATTCGGTAAAAGACATTACTGTTCAATTGACCGTATAGTCACAAGACTGCATGGGTCCCAGGTTCAGTGCCTCGCTGTATAAACCAGCTGTCTAAGGCAGACGCCTTAGTGCTCATATGTCTTGTGGCATGCTCCTCCTGTATCCCGGTGCTTTCTGTGCTTTCTTTCTTGCTATCTTGTTGACAACAGGTCAGTGTTTGGATCAGCTGCTTGCGTTCAAGGATGCAGCCAGCGGCATGTCCGGTGCAGAGCTTGTCGTTGAGTCGCTCAAGTAAGGCTATCCTTGTTCAGCAATACTTGCAGCAGTGCCAACAGCAGCAGCAGCAGCCGCAGCATTGACAGCAAAAGCAGCAGTGCCAACAGCAGCAAAAGCAGCAGTAGCAGCATTGACAGCAAAAGCAGCAGTAGCAGCATTGACAGCAAAAGCAGCATTAGCAGCATTGACAGCAAAAGCAGCAGTAGAAGCATTGTTAGCAAAAGCAGCAGTAGCAGCATTGACAGCAAGAGCAGCAGTAGCAGCATTGACAGCAAAAGCAGCAGTAGCAGCATTGACAGCAAAAGCAGCAGTAGCAGCATTGACAGCAAAAGCAGCAGTAGCAGCATTGACAGCAAAAGCAGCAGTAGCAGCATTGACAGCAAAAGCAGCAGTAGCAGCATTGTGCCTCAGCTTAGATCGTTAGATTTGAAGTAGACCTGTGTACTTTATAGGTGCAATGACGAACTCCTGGAAACTATGCTTTGGAACTGATTGTGACATTATTGGTGACATCGTCACGCCACAGTTCTGGTCAGTGAAAATTTCATGTGGTTCTATGTATATGTGTGAGTGTGTGTGCGTGCATGTGTGTGTTTGTCTCAAACCTTCCTTGCTCAGGTTGCACATGGAGAGCGAGGACACAGCTGGTAACTTGGCAGCTCTGTTGATGGATATGAGTGATGATGGTAAGGGGACATTGCTCTAACAGTCACATTGCTTGACTCATGGATTGGTCTAAAATAAAATTTAAAAAAAAATAAACTTATCGTGTCCGTTGCCGAGATAACTCATGACGGCCGCTACCACCCCGTAAATCCATGATGGATTGGTTGATGTTGTTCAAGTCTTGTCTGGGATCATGGACCTGGAGTAACAGCTACATTGGCTTGCAACCACAATGCCTATTACCTACCATGCTGCTCAATGTATGTGCCGGGCGTCGGGCAGCCCTAGACCTGCGAACACTGGGCTGCGAAAAGGTGCAATGTGCAAACTTGAGTAACGCGACTGGATTTCACTGACCAGCACTGCAGCTAACCTATCCCTGTATGCAAAGCATTAATTTGCAGTCGGTCATGATCTGTTTAGTTTGAATGATACGAAATCAACACTCCGCATGCTGCTTTTTGTCCTCTATGCCTCAAATACAGTTGTATTCAAAGAAAATCTGACCCTTGTGCCGAAAGCAGCTCCAAAGCTCATAGGCCCCTGAGGCCCTCTATTGGGTTTTGTAGTGTGCATGATATAATTGAAATTGAAATGCGGCGCTGCTTTCGACACCCAGGTTGGGTTTCTTTGGCCGCTAGTGTATAAACCCTTCACAGGCTGATTCCACTATGTCTCTTTCTCCGTGTACATATTCCTTGGTGTGTGCTGCAGACGTTGCTGCTGCTCAGCTCATGAAGGCTGATGCACCGGCACTACTCGAGAAGACCCGCCAGCTTCATGCTGCTAATCAGGTACTGTCGTTTAGGGTGCCGTCTAGCAAGTGTTCTGATTCAGCACGTGCCCTCTGCTGGGACTACAGTCCTATGAACATGACTTGCGTTTGTAATCCCATGTCCTGGGGTTTGAAAGCCCATGGATGCCCATGCTGTGGGGTTTGGACACCCAAGGTTTGGATGCCCATGCCCTAGGTTTTGGACGCCAGTACCGTGGGGTTTGGATGCCAGTACCCTGGGGTTTGGACGCCAATGTCCTGGGGGTTTAGACACCCACATGCCCTGTGGGTTGGTTGGTTTAGTCAACTGCTATGGCATCCTTTCTCAATGCATCCAATGATATATCCTCTTGTTCCGTGTTTTCTTCCTGTTCTCCAGGAGATCTGCACTAACTGTCAGATAGGTAAAGGCCGTCTGCTTGAAAGCGCCGAACGCAGCACAGCTGGTTCTGCCGCCAGCTCCAAGCCGCAGTTGGAACGGGTCGCGTCAATGACACGTGACAAGGTTGGCAGCCTCCAGCGATCACGACCCAGCACAGCACGCAGGAGCAGCAGCATCGAGGTGCCAAAATAAGTACTAACCCTGGAACAAGGTAGCATT